CCCCAAAACCCCAAAACCCCAAAACCCCAAAACCCCTTCTGAGAGCCTATTTATTGATTTATCCTTGCTGTATTTTATAGAATAAATTAATATGGAAGGGTAAGCGGATCTAGTTCCTCCCATTCAAGTTTACTCCAAACTTGTAATAATTTCTTGTAGATCAGAAGGATCAATAAGATCAAACCCAGTATTCAATCCAGATCAGAATCAATCCCAACAGCCAGGAGCTGGAGAAAGTCAGAACACTCCAATGCCTCCATTTCATGCTCAAGGAAGCCAACCTCCTCCAAGAGTAGGTGGAGGAAAGAAAGGAAGAATCCAGCAGAATAGATATGCAGTTCCAACCACCATGCATTATTCTGAAAGCTCTCAAGCTGAAGCTGGCCAACAAATTGACAGACTTAGGCATCTAAATCAGCCAGTACCTTCAGCTCTATTAAATGAAAATCCAGATATAGGGTCTAACCCTTCCAATGCTCAAAACATCAGACCTCCAGTTTTCAACATTGAGAACATCCAAGTGGATACTCCAGAGAACCACAATGAACAGATGGCTGCATTCTCAGAGAACACAGAGGAGATGTTCCAGCAATTTAGCAATGGACAGCAGGATAGTGCCCAGCCAGGAGTACCAGCTACAAATAATAACCCACCAGTTCCAGAAGAATTAGAAGGAAATCCAAGAATCGAGGTCGATCAAGTAAGAACTTTCTCTAAAACCAAATTATTCTTATCCGAAAGAACTATGAGGTCGTGCTTTTAAATTTCATACTAATATTGATCTAGCCAAAAATTGGAGAGGCTCCTCAAGATGCTCAAGATATCTCAGATATTCAGCAAACTGACTCGTATTCTTTTGAAGAAGGAAAGAATGATAGTCATTCCCCAACAGAAGAGAGTAAGGAGCATAGCAATGTTCAAAACTTTGAAAGAGAGGATCCCAATCAGGAGAGACAAGGATTAGAAGATGAAATTAGAGCAAATCACCAAGATGAACCCGCCTTGGATCATGCAGAGTTTAACTCAGATAGTCCTTATTCAAGCTCTATCAAGAGAAGAAATGAGCAGTTTTCATCCTCTGAGAAAGAAATGTCTGGGCTAGAGTTTATAAAGAAGACTAATGCAAATTCTAGAAAGCAGAGCAATAGTAGACAGTCTAATACTGCTAATCAGCCTTTTGGATATTCGATGCCACACAGATCTGGAACTTACTCTTCATTTGTAGTTCCAAATTCAGTTATGAATTCTTCAGATAATGCAAATCAGTTATCTTCATATCTCCAATTAAGTAGGAATACTCAAAACCCAGGATCTGGAGGTCATTCAGAGTCAGTCTCCTCATTCCCTGTGACTAACTATGAAGACTCAGAATTTATGATTCAAGCATACCAAAGAAAGAAGAAGTCTTACGAAAAGTGCAAGACAAAGCTTCTACAAGCAGAGTCTGATCTACATATGGAAAAACAGAGATGCAAGATGTTCCAGGAGGAAACCAAAAGACTCAAAATGAGTTACAAAAAGCTTGAGAAAAAGTAATAATCCTTCTAATTTGTAGATACAAACAGCAGATTCAAGCCAATGCGAAACAAGAGAAAGAACAACTGAGAAGAGCTCTTGAGCTGAGTAATAAGGAGAAGGAAATGTACAAAAATGATAGAGAAAACCTCAAAAAGGATAACCTCAAGATCAGAAAGGCAATGCAAGAGCTAGTCAATCAGAATTACATGTTAAAGAAGCAAATCCAGATGTTAGAGCAGCAGGAAGAAATCAATAATGATGTAAAGTCTGATGATGCTAAGGAGGAATTAGAGTATCAAATCAAGAAACTTACACAAGATCTTACTAATGAGATCAATAAGAATAAGAAGTGGGAGAAATTTAGTAATGACCTCAAGGTCAGCAAGACCCAGTCAGAAACTGAAACTAGAAGTATTAAGGAAGACCTGAACAAATTACAGCAAAAGATAAGTGAGCTTCAGACTCAAAACACTCTCCTGGCAAGAGAAAAGGATTCTAGTCATTCGAGAATATTAAAGTATCAGGAAGAAGTAAGTAATTTGAGAGCTTCTCAAGTAAGCCAGCCAATCCCTACTTCTCTGACTAAAGAAGTTTCACAAGAATCTCAATCAAAAAGTAAAGATGATTATGTGAATACATTTTATGAAGAAGATCCTACTTCATTAGAAGTAGGATATAGTCAGACCCAACAAACTTCAACACAAGACAAAAATGAATTTGAAATGCAGCTTAAAGAAGAAGTAAAGGAAGATTTTCCATTTGAGCAAGAAGAAAGTAGAGAAAGTAGAGAAAGAGAGTTATTCGGAGCTCCTCCAACTCATGAAAAACAACATAATCCTTCAATAGTTAAGACAAAACAGAATATACATAATCCACCATCTAAAAGAGCGGAGAAGCCAGTAATTTCATCTTCATTGTTTGAAGGAGATGATCAGAGACCATCTGAGTTTTCTATGACAAGCCAAGAATATGAGCACCAATTAGAAGAGCCTCAACCAATCAGGAATAAGTTAATGTCTCATCCTGCTCCTCAAATGGAAACACAAGCTACTATTCCTGACAGCAATTTAAAGAGAAACATATCTCATAACTTTGGAGGGCCAAGTAGCAATGATGCTTTCATAGCTGAGGATTTCTTTAATAATCTGAGTCAAATGTCTAATCCAAAGACATCTGAGCCAGTAAATTCTCCGATTGCTCCTCCAAGCACTCAAGCTAAGAAGCAAAAAGAGGTTGATTTGGCTGCTCCTAGCCATCCTATTCCACCTCAGACTTCAGCTGCTGGGCCAGCTCCAGGCTTGGAGTTGGATATTCCAACTACGGCTCCTGTACAGCAAGTTGCTCAGCCTCCACAGGCAAGAGCTACACCAAGAACTGCTGCAAAGAGAGTTATCCCAAAGAGCCTCTTTGGTTAATCTCCTTTAAGAGTTCAACCTACAATTTCAAAAATGGGGTTTTGGGGTTTTGGGGTTTTGGGGTTTTGGGG